GAACTGCTATTTTATGGAGGTCCTAATGTTTGGAATATGAACTTGCACAAAATGGAGGCCTTAAAATAAGTAAATCATGGACATAGTATGTAGTTTTAAACTAGCTTCTGGTGAGATAAAGGTTTCTTTTCATGCTTTACCCTGATTTACGAGCCCTTCATTGTCACAATGTTCAGAACTTCTGTGTAACAAAATCTTCTTTGAAGTAGAGAAAATTGTGCTAACAGGTTTTTGTATCTACTTTTCATTTTAGAGTAAAACAGCAGTAAGTTTGGATGATCAAATGAGCACAAATACTTTGGGGTTTTATCTTACCATTGAAATTCCATAATTACCAACACATGGTCACAGTAAGCAGCTCTAAAACTTCAGTAAAGTTTTCTGCCAGGTGTACGGCCCATGAGACCCCTTCCCTCTTTTTTCCAAATCTACCATTTTTTCAAAACCTTCAATATAAAGAGTAAATTTGTAAAAAAGCCTGAAAATCAGGTAACCTGGCCTGAACTCATTGTTAGCAGGTTAAGAAACAGGTTTCAACTCAGATATTATTTTGCCTCCTTTTTTTAAGATTTTTTTTTTTTTATGGCTTCAAGCATTTTAAATCTGGATTTTTTTAAAGGCACTAGGTTTATCTTGAATGCTATAGCTTTGTTTAGTTGAGTTTAAAATATATATATATATTAAATTATATAGTTTAAAATATAACTTTTCTAAGTTTGTAACTTTTCCTCATATTACAGGAAAGCAGTCTTTTAAGAAACACTGAGCATTTTCAAGGTGTATGGAAGATCTTGTCTAATTGGGAAGGTCTGTTTCAAGTATTCCTCACACATAAGCAAACAAGAAATGGATACCACTTCTGTGCTATTTGCAAAGCAAGCTGTCTTGGAGGGTTTGTAGTCAATATGAATGTAGGTCTCAATTTTCCTTTCAAGAAAGAAAAAACATTGATCATGAATAGTAGTTGGTTTCAGTTATCATAGCTTAATTTTAAATATACTGAGGGGAACAAAACTTACCAAAACTTAATTTTAAAACTTGATGCCAGCCTTTGTTTTATCACTGTCTATTAAATATCCAGTGTGCTGCCTGTGCCATCTGTTCTTCCTGTAGAGAATAAGAAGGCAAATGAATCACTCAGACATCTAAAACACTGTGTGGTACTTGAATCAGATGCACAAGGATGGCATAACACTAACTGAATGGATATTACTTTGGAAGATTAATTGTCCTTGGGTGACTTTACGATGCTGAATTGTATCCCTATTTGTCTGTTTAGCCCAGAAATAAGTTTTGCACCTTTAAAACTAGATCTGAGCGTGAAGTGGGGGAAGAATGGAAAGCAGTGGAATGTCTGAGGTAGTTGCTTTCAAAACATAGCTTCAGTGTTTTTCTCTCCTGGACTGTGTTGTCTGCAGCACAGACAGACAGCAGGAGAAAGATCTCCTTTACTTTTTATTTAGTTTTTTTTTTTTTAGCTAGCTGAGACACTGAAGTTTCCTGGATTATGTTTTTTTCTTTTTCTTGGAACTGATCAGTCCTGCTCTGGCCTGAAAAGCCAGAAGAGCACCAGTAGTTCACAAGAGTGGTCCATTAGGACCTGGGACACAGCATTTTCCAGTGCAGGAGGGACTGATGAGAGACTGAGCAAGCTGAGCCCACAAGGACTTTCTGAATTTGCCATCTCTTCAGAACAACAAGAGGTTTTATTGTTTAATGTTATTTATTTATTATGCTTGTTCATACTTTGCTTGTTAAATAAACACTTTTTTCCACTTTTCTCCAAGGAAATCTTTTCCCGAACCACTTCGGGGAGGGGCTGCTTGGGTTTGCTTTCTGGACAGACCCCATTTGGAGGTTTCCTTCTAAATTTGCCCTAAACCAGAATATTAATCTCTATAGAAGCTCTCTGAAATGTCATCTACCTTGCCTACTCTAGCTGTTTTCATCATAAATACAGATATCTCATACTATCCTTGGTTCAAAGAAGATTAATTTAAAGCTAGGCCTCTTAGGGCCACCTTTGATTCAAGGAGATCCTAGTATGTGCAGAGCTGGGACTTCCAGGAACACTTTCAGTTATTTAAATGGTATAATAATTTTTTAAAGGTGGAAGCTTGCATCAAATTTGGCTATGAGGTGCTCTGCAGTGTTTGATCCAGGATGGCCTACTTGTGGCTGGCTGCCTGTGCTTGTTCCTGGGGTAACATTTGTGCAAGTTCAGTGTCTGATTTGTCTCTTGCTTTCATATCGATCGATACAGATGAATCAATAAAGATAACCTTCAAATGCTGGCCTTTCAGGCAGGACAAATCGTGGTTGCAAAAAGAGGAAGGTATTGCCTTGAAATCTGTCACCCTGCCTTTGTCTCTCCTGTCATTTTCAGGCTCTTGTTTTGCATCATGATCTTTGTCTTAAGGAAAATCTGCAGACTGCTATCCCTTGGGGAGTTGACTCAGGCTTAACTCAGGGTCTGTTGCAACTGGAGTTCACAGTTCAGAGTTAAATGCACTTCAGACTTTAAAAAGCCAGACCAACAGCACAAGCAGGGCTGCTGTCCTCTTCTGCATATCCCATTGTAGGGAAAGAAAATAGGAAGGCAAAGAAGATAGGTTAATTTCATATCAGAAAAATATTGTTACATGAGGGCTGCTTTATGACCCCTACTTGTAAATGTACTGTGGAACAGGGTCCCCATCCCAAATTATTATTCTTAAAGCACATCAAAACCGGACTATCAGTGGCCAAAGCTCCTATAAGAGTATGGGAGCGCTATGTGGCTGCTTGCTGCTCGAGCATGAGAGAAAGAGACCAGTGATGGATGCGATTTTTAGGCATATGGGATGTCAAAACAAACAGTGATATGAACAGCTATCTAACTTTATTCTTTGGCCTTCTGCCCAGGTTGGAGGTGCTGCTAACTATGTAGCCTCTCCGTGAAAGCTGTAGAAAAAAAAGCGTTGGAAATCAGATGTTTCCTGTTGGCAGTGCTCCCTTAGTTCCCAAGCAACAAGATCTTAGTTGGAACTCTGACATTTGAGGGAACTATGGGCCCAAGGGAGGGAGAATGAGGCTCAGGAGGAACAGAATCTACTGGGGCTTGAGGGGTTAGTTCAGGGATATGGGAAGAGATCTGAATTCCCAACATTTCACAATACCTGAAGAGTTTTAAAGTGTTTTTCTGGAGAGGAGAGGGTGAGAACTGCATCATGGAAGATTTAAATAGCTTGACCTGTCTCAGAGCTGATAATTACCAGATTTCTGCAAGCTAAGTGGAGGAAAATTTTACTGCAGTGTGGAAAAAGATTACAGCACTGCTTATGAAGATACTGGGAAGTCAAATAGCCCCAGATTAAAGACTGATGAGTTTTGCAATGACTGAATTGTAAAATAATGTAACCAAAAGCTTTATGAACAGGGACAAGCAATTACCTTGTGCTCAGACCTTGTAAGACAATAAAATAAAAACCTAATGGAAGCCTTATTTGAGTCGTACATTGCTAACACTTTATGTTAAGTATTAATAAATAACTTCCAGTTCTTAAGGCTTCAGAAGAAAACGTTTTTCCTAAACTGAGCTTTAAAAAGAAAGGTTTAAAGACTTGCCTCAACTGTAAGACATTGGAAATCAACTTACACAGCAGTCTTTTTCACCATGGTGATGTCTACTAGGAAAATGAAAAAGATTAAGTACATGGTTCCACTTCTGTCTCAGCCAAAGACATCAATATAGGGGTTTGCCTTTTGAAACACTGTCCAACAATTCTGCAAATCAACTTCTATTTTCAAATGGAAGTTGTAAACAAGAAATATAAGATGCAGAGCAATACTGAGTCCAGATTAAGACACAATCATATTCTTCTCTCTGCTTTTCCAGCATTTCTATCTAGATACATGGAATCCAGTAAGAGCTTGCTGCACGTGAACGTCTGGATGAAAAATCACTTGGAAAATTACTGTAAATTTGTGTTTAAATTCAAAAGGCATTCATATGAGTTTTTTAATTCCAAATATTGACCCTGAAAAGCTGAGCCATGAACTTAGCAACTGTGACTTCTCTCAGGAATGATCCAATGAATGTCAGTCAAACGGTTTGTTATAGGCTCCGGTAGGCTACTAATGATGTGACAAAAAAAAAATGTTGTGTGATATACAGCTTGAAACAAATATTGAACTTAATTTTCCTGTCGGATGGCTATCCGGCTAAAGGTTCTGTTATCTTCCCTGTGTCATTGTGATTCGTTTTCACTGTAAATTGAAGCAGATGAAACTCACCGCGATTCTTTGAGACTTGAGACATTTGAACAAAAATTAGCAACATTACTCGTCAATGAAGGTTTGTTGTGAAAATAGTAATTTCAGTTCCATAGAACAAATTCTTAAAAACTAATATGGGATTAAGTTTTGCAAAATACTTGTTAGAGGATTAAAAACAGAAAAAAAAATAGTGAATGGTGAAATGCTATTTCACCATTCACTAGGCTGTTTTCATTGAGATACTCGGTTTCATTTTACAGTTTCAGTAGCTGGTAAGTCTATAGTCTAAACACCAGTTGCCTTGCAAAGGGGTCTGCTTAGGGCCTGCCTGAGATGCTTTTGCGGGGAGTTGGCTTGCGTGCTCCTGTTGTGCATACGCCCTGTGTACTCATGTTTTTGAGCTGACTAGCTATTATTCAGCGGTCTCCGGGAGGGCTCGGAAACGCTAGGCTGGGACAAGGCCTCAGAAGACCCGTCCCGGGCACTCGCCCGCCTTTCCCTGGGACACAGAAAAGGAGCGGGAGCGGAGCGCTCCCTCAGCCGCCCGCCCCCGCCACGCGCCGCTGCCCCGCCGGGAACGTGCGCCCGCGCGACGCGGCCCCGCCCCCCGCCGCCAGACGCGCTCCTATTGGCTCCGTCCCGCCCGTGCCGGCGCTGTTGTGACACGTGAGGGCGGCGCACGTGGGGACGTTATGTAAGGCGCGGGGGGGAGGGGCGGGGCCGGCACGCGCGCGCGCTGCGGGGCCGCCGCGCATGCGGGGTGGGGGGTGAGGGGCGGGGCCCGGCCGGTCTGGTTGCGCTCCCTCACGGACAGAGGCCCCGGAGGCTCCCGAGCGACAATGAAGCAACAACAGCAGCAGCAGCCGCTGCTGCCGCCGCAACCGGCGCCGGCCCCGCAGCCTCCCCTGCAGCCGTCGCCTCCCTTCGCCAGCCCGGGGGTCCCCGCCTTCCTCAGCAAACTGTGGGCTCTGCTGGGCGAGACCCCCAGCAACCAGCTCATCACCTGGAGCCAGGTCGGCCGCCCTCCCCCCCACCCTCCGCTCCGCCCGCGTGTGGCGCAGCCCCGGAGCCCCCGCCATCACCTGCGCCATCGGGGCCTGCTGGGACCTCGGCCTGCGCCTGGGGAGGACGGAACAGCAGGGCACGGCCACATGGCTCGGTTGGGCTCGGGCCGGGCCGAGCTGAGCTGAGCTGCTCGGCAGAGGCCGGCTCGCTCCAGCCCTCAGCCTCTCCCTTGTTTTAAGCATGGAGTAGGAGCTGCGGTGCCCGCCCTGGGGCGCGTCCCCAGCACCCCTGCGGAGGGTGGGGGTGTTTGTGTGGCGGCTCTGACTGAGCAGGCTCGGGCGGCCATGGGGGTGGGAAGGGGCCCGGGAGCCGGAGGGTTTTGGCGTGCGGGGAAGGTGGAGCCGCGGGGGGATTTCCCATCGCGGGGTGGTGGGTGCGCCAGGAACGGGGCTCGCCCTCTGTGGGCCGGGGCTCCAGGAGAGCTGCGGAAGGTGGGAAGAGCGGCGTGCTCAGGCCTGGTGGTGTTTCCTGTGTGCTGCCCGCGGGCCCGGATCCCGCAGGGGCAGTGGGGGGCGGCCACGTGGGGGACGGCCGGGGCTTCCCGGGCTGGGTGTCCACCTGCTGGGGTGGCGGGAAGGGATGGGCCACGGGGGAAGTCGAATTGGGCACCATTCTTCTCACAGTGCAAGGAAGGACTGGCAAGTTGCTACAGTGAGCATCCTTGACAGTTGTGCTAAAACCTAAGCACATATTTTGATAATTGCTACTTCATTTTTTCCTTACATGCTGCTTTCAACAAAAACTTGTTCTCAAATCGTATCAATTTCTTTAAGTAGCATTCAGTTAAACTCAATTGAGTGCTCCTCCTTATTTTAAATGCTCTAGAAATAATTAACTGTCTTAAATATTTTACTGAAAATTATTTACCTGTACGTTCAGCCAAAACTTCCCAAAGAGGGAAGCAGGAGGCCTCAGTAGATTACGGCAGCTTTTCTTTCTTGGTTTTTTTTTTTTTTTTTTTCCGTTTTGTTTTGTTTTAGGGTGGAATTTTTTGTGGTGTTTTTGGAATTTATTTGGGGTTTTTTTCTGCTTTTTTATTTTTTGGAAGAGAGATATTAAAGGCTCTATGAAAATTGGTATTGTCTACATTAAAAAATGCTGGTTTTGCTGCCCTATGGTTTTAATGGAGAATTCCCGAATCCATTGCTTATGTTTACCTCAAGTAAACATACAGATACCTGTTAGGTATCCTTGTTTTAGTTTTTTTTTAATTGAAACAGTTCGTTGTTTGAGATTCTGCAAGGCTGTTTCTAGAGGGGAAGGTCCAGCTATCACAGTTGATATTATTAGCAACCAGCAGTTCTTGTAGGGGTAGGTATTGGGATTACTTGTGATATGGGTGAGGAGTACCAAGTGAAGCACTTGGAAGACTGCTACATGCTGTAGCCATTGGCACTAGGAGCTGACAATCATATTTAGCTGTCTTGTGGAGTTTACAGGCTCAGCGTCTGTACAGCTTTCCTGTAAATGACTGTCAGGGCAACAGGAGCTCATGGATGTGTTTTCCAGATTCTCATGTGCTAGGCCTGGACAATGTCAAAGCGATGATAAAGTGAGGCATCACATGGAAGTTGTCAGTTGGTGTCCCGGGTCACTCTAGTGTCACCTAGTTCAGCACCTTCACTTTGTGAATTTCACTTTGGCTAAAATAGTCTGTTCTTGCTGTTCCTTTTGCTTCTTCTTTTTCTTCCACTGATTGATTCTCAGCAGGAGGTAGGTAGGCATTACTGGAAGTTTTAATCTCCCTACCTTCCTCTCAGTGTTAAGGCTTAAATCATCCAGTGGAGAGCCATTTGTAACATACTGTTTCTGATGCTCCCTGCTGACTTGCTGGAGCAAGCTGTTGTGGTTTAACCCCCACTGGCAACTGAGTTCAAGTACAACTCAGCCACTTGCTCACTCCCCCACACCCTGGTAGAGAAAGTAAAACTACTGGGTTGAGATAATAATTTAGAACTGAAATGAAGTAAAGTATATGATAACAGTAATAAAACAGAACTGAAACACAAGAAAAACAAATGCCCAATACAATTGGTTACCACCTGCAGGCCTGCACCCAGCCCATCCAGAACCAGCAGTTGGCCTTCCTGCTGGATAACTCCCCCAGTTTATATATTGGGCATGATGTTCTCTGGTATGGAATATCCCTTTGCCCAGTTTGGGTCAGCTGTCCTGGCCATGCACCTTCCCAACTTCTTGTGCACCTGCTTGCTGGCAGTGCTTGGGAGGCTGAGAAGACCTGGACTTAGGGTAAGCACTGCTCAGCAACAACTAAAACATCAACTTGTTGTTAACATTATTCTCGCACTGAATCCAAAACTGAGCACTCTACCAGCTACTAAGGAAAAAAATAATTCTACCCTATCTGAAACAAGGACACCCACCTTTGGACAAGGACCTTCATATGGTTCTTTAAGCTTCTTGGGATCAGAGAGCTGCTTCCATTTGAGGATAAGAGAAGTGACTCATTAAACTTAAAAGACTTCTTAAAAATATGCAGGAAAAGTGTTGACATTTTTTAAAGATAAGACTTTTTATTAACTACAGGGTGAGAGTATTGCAGATGTGTAGACAAAACAAACCATTTTTAAGTAGGTAATTTGCATTCTGTCAGTTACTTGCCCTGTAGTTAAATGGAGTGCAGTCATTGAAGAACAAAGAGCTCATCCTTCTATTTTAGTTAAAGCCTGTGGATTAAATAGCAGATCAGTCTTTCCTCACAATTGGCATTCCGGAAGGGGAATCTTGCTTTAGGTGGCTACCTTTTTGATAGCTCCAAAACCCAGTGGACACCCTCACCTCTTTGACAGCTCCATCTGCTCTACAGGTCCTATCAAACCATGCTTTTATACTGAAAAGCAGATGGGACTGTCCGCTGGCTGTTGGTAGTTTTTCCTTGTTCAGGTTCTTTAAGATTTCTTACCAGAGCTTCAACACTACGTTCAAAATTGATAGTATTGCCCTGTAGTGAAACTATGATAATTCCTGGTAAACAATTATTTCATATCTTGATAAAGCAGTATGTAACAATAGAGATGTTCCCCTTCTGATACAGGTGATGATGTAAACTGATAGTACGCAGTTGCTTTGCAACTGCAAGGTTTGTACGCTTTCTGTTTTGGAAAATTGTAGGCAAGCAGATCAGTAATGTACTGCATGCACAAAGGAAGCATTCCAATCTGGTGATTAATTCTAAAAGCCCAGTGTGTTTTCTGCTATGGTTTTTAAGTAGCTTAATGTGGCTCTCTCATTTTAGAATGGAAAGAGTTTCTTGGTGTTGGATGAACAGAGATTCGCAAAAGAAATTCTTCCCAAGTACTTCAAGCATAACAACATGGCAAGCTTTGTCAGACAGTTAAACATGTGTAAGTTCCTGGATTTTTGCATTCTAGCACAATATTAAATCCTGTACATAAAAGTTAAGTTACAATTTCTTTTGAACAGTGGCTTTGTGTTCTCTGCAACTGGGATACTGTCTTATCCTCAAAATTGGTAACAGGATAGTTGGCATAGCATACTTGGAATTTCTTAATGTGTATTTTGAGGTTTTTCTTTTCTTTTGTTTTTATTTTTTTTAAGATGGCTTCCGTAAAGTTGTCCATGTTGATTCTGGAATTGTCAAACTGGAGCGAGATGGTCCAGTAGAGTTTCGGCATGCATATTTTAGGCAGGGCCGGGAGGACTTGCTGGAACACATTAAAAGGAAGGTTAGTGAAAATCCAGTATGTGGAAAACCTGTACTATTAAGTATTGATGCATAGCTATGTTCATGTCAAGTTTAACTGCAGGATTGTGAGTGCAAGTAAGTTCAGAGTTTATGGAAACAAACTGCCCTGGTTTCATTTATATCTTGAGCTTGTTTAAAGATACTTTGGGGGATTTGACAAGGCTTTTTTATCTACTTTGCTGTTATTATAGTAAGGTTTTACAGGTGGCAAAAAAGTGTGAGTCATGTAATATGACAATTTGCAAATGAGTATTAGAAGTGCAGAGCATGCTTTGACTTTGCCATCAGCAATATAAGAAACTGCTCGTTTATGTGGCTTGTTTCAGAGCAAAGCTACTGTAAGCATTAGACTTTACAACCAAGAGAACAGGGCAAACACATAAACACATTTGTTATGCTTCTGAAATATGCTCTGCTGTTATTGAGTCAAGTGGATATAGATGGCAAATAGAAATACGGCAAATGAAACTGGACATCATGGTTAACTCCAGCCAGTGGCTCAGCCTCACACAGCCACGCGCTCACTCCCCCCATGCCAGGATGTGGGAGTGAATTGGGAGAGTAAAAGTGAGAAGACTCATGGGTTGAGATGAAGGCAATTTAATAGGTAAAGCAGAAGCTACACCCACAAGCAAAGCCAAACTGGGAATTCATTTACCACTCCCTGTGGGCAGGGTTGTGTTCAGCCATTCCCAGATAAGCAGGGCCGCATCACATGTAGTGGTGACTTGGGAAGACAAATGCCATTATTCTTAACATCCCCCCCATGTCCTTCTTTCCCCCAGTTTTATATGCTAAGCATGACACAATGTAGTATGGAATGCTCATGTGGTGAGGTGGGGATGCTGTGTATGTGCCCTCTCAATTTTTTGTGCAGCCCCAGCCAACTGGCTGGTGGAGTAAAGTGAGAAGCAGAAAAGCCCTTGACTTCATGTGTAAGCATTGATCAGCAATAATAGAAACATCTCTGTATTGCCAGCACTGCAGCACAACTGCACAAGTCCAAAACACAGCCCCAGTTTGCTACTGTGAAGAAATTACTCCATGCCAGCCAAAACCAGCACAGAGTGATGTACTTGTTATCACCAGGTTATTGTGATGCAGTTATCATGAAGTCGAGCTCTTGGGAAAATGCCTGAAGAGTTGGGAGTGAACACAAATATTTGTAACAACTAAAGCTAATATGGTGACAGCTGTGTTTCTGATTTTGGGTTTTTTTGGATGCTTGGTTTATTATTAAATTAAGTGCATATTTTGTCAACATTAATAAGAAAATATATTTGATCAGCAAAAGAGAATAATAAGCATGAGTAAAAGGAAGTGTTGTTTCTGGATTCTAATCTTTTAAAGGTTTCTTCTTCAAGACCTGAAGAAAACAAGATACGTCAGGAAGATCTCTCTAAAATAATATGCAGTGCTCAAAAGGTGCAAATCAAGCAAACAACTATTGAATCTCAATTGTCTCTTATGAAGAGGTAAGTTGCTTCATCAGTATCTGATCCTTAATACTGAATAATTGTGATACTAGATACTGGACAGAAACCTAATTCTAGGCGTCTCTTGATTTCTGGTTGCCTCATTTCAATTAATGCTTTAGAAACAAACTTCCATAGAAAAATTGCTTTAAAATTGAACTTTTTGATATCAATAAAAGTTACAGGCAATGTTGGTGTTTGCAGACCTGTCTAGTATTAGGCAATTAAATAACATCATTAATAATAGTTCCATATAGATGCTGAGTCTTAAATATTTAAATCAGCTCTTTGTATAAAGTATGCTGGTTTTTGTCTTCCAAGTTTTAAATACTTACTTGTATTTGTTTTGAGGCAGAGTTTGGTTTGTGCAGTTTGCATATAATACTTCTGTAGGATCAGACATTAATTAATGTCTTTGCTCATTGTTTTAATTTTCCTATTGTTTTTGTCCTCATTCCCCCACTGTTTAAAATTGTGGAAGAGTTAAAACCTATGAAAATATGTTTGGAAATCTAATTTAGAAATTCATTAGTTAGCTCGTTGACAGAGAAACGGAACTGAAAATCCAGATGTATATAGAGTTTTTGTAGAATTCCTTAACTGTCTGCTTAGAAATTATGATTTAGTCTCAACAGTAAGAGGGATGTGGGTCACAAATTACTTAATCCTTTAGAATATGTAGATACAGACAAGATACGTGAGCACAAGGTCATGCACTGTAAGTCGCATCACCTCAATAGAAACGCTAATAAGAGTTTCTATTTCTTCTTCTAGAAGATGGTCTCATGACAGTGTACCTCTGTGGCAGAGGTCACCAATCAGTTCAGGTTTTAAGAAGTAAATTCTCTAATTTCTAGATGTCAGTTCTAATGACTTGAGTGGTGGAATATTAAGAGGCAAACTTCTTTTGCTTAGGCACAGTCTGTGTTAGAATCTGGCCAGTCTAGAGTGAAAATCATATTTGCCGTTTTGAAATCCTAGATGAATTTGGGTTGAAGGAACCTCAGAAGGCCATCAGGTCCAAACTGCTGCCCAGAGCAGGGCTGGCTTTGACTGAAATGACAGCCAGTTGCTAATGAGCGACAGTTTGTAGAGATGAAAACATAGTGGTTGGTCTCTGGCATCCATGTTGTCATCCCATCAGTTTAAAGTGATTGAAGTATAAACTGGAGCTAAATCAGAGGGCCTGGTCCTACAAAAGGTGTTGATAAAGCTAGTGAAAAAGCTCAGAATGTTAATCCCTCGCTTCTGCTGTTAATTTTGTGATGGAACTGTACTCTTAAATTGTATGGTGGACATAGGAGCGAGTAGTACACTGCATCACACTGCATATGAGCTGAAAACTTAGTTTAAGGTTTCCTGAAACCCCATACACCAGTGGAGTTTGCTTCTTTGTGTTGAAAATTAAACTACAAAAGAAAGGAGTGTAGTATATTGTCTACTTATATTCATTGAAGCTTTTGGTATTCATTATCTGCCTCTTAGTATGACACACACTGGAAGCAGAAAGGCTCATGGTTACAGTAGGGCAGTTTTTACACTGTCTCAGTAACTGGAGTCCTGTGACTACTGGAAGAACCAAGGTTTCTAAAACAGCAGTGTGTCATGAAAACTGCTACCTCTGACATGTTCCTGTTATTTTTTATCACTTAACAGGCCTGTTTACTGGAGCTAATAGAGGTAATTGTTAAATGCTGATAGTTAATTTTAAATGCTAAATGTATGGGTAATGATTATTACTGGATTTGGGAATTCAATTTTTTTTTTCCTTTAAAGCAGATGGAGATTCTCTGCAGGCCATTAGTTGTGTTTGGGTCTCTGTTTCACAGTTACTTTTCAAGGCTGCTTGCTGCCTGTGTGATATTCCCACACCAACCCCCAATCTAGAACACATTTCAAAGAGTTCTAAAGAAGCCAAATGATTTTTTAAAAAAATTAATAACTAGTTTTAGTGTGACTTTTAAATCATCATTTTTAAACAGAGAGAATGAATCCCTTTGGAGGGAAGTGTCAGAACTGAGAGCAAAACACTTGCAACAGCAGCAAGTTATTCGAAAGGTAAGGCTTCATTCAAGTGTCATGTGTGCTTGAGTGAGTGCTTCTGAAGTAGGAATGCTTTGCCATGTTACCTTGTTTTGCCCTTACTCAGCTTTTTATGTCAAATCTCTCTTTAATAGAAAAAACAGCAGGTTGGTATATGATGAACAAACCCTAGTGATACAAACATTCAGGGAATTTATTGCATAAGTAGAAAATAAGACCAAAGTCTTGTAAACATTTTCAAAGAGGCTCAAGAACATCCTACATCACTCATTAATGCAGCCTGCTGGCCTCTCCCCCTCAAATCCACGGGTGTTCCCAGTGGAGCCCGGCCAGCTGGGCAGTTGGGGTGAGGCGGGCAGAAGGAAGGGTTTCTCCTTGAATCCCGGAGGGCCTGGAGAAGCCCCATGTGAGTCCAAAGATGAGCTAGTCCCACAAGTGAAGAAAGAGGCGGTCTCCCTTCAGGATTGGTTCCAAGGTTTATTCATGTAACCTCGAAGGAGGTCTGAGCGAGAGAGCGCGTGTCCCCACCCAGACCGGCCAGATATAGGGGGTGGGGAAAACCTGACCAGCCAATGGGGGAAGGACATAGGAGTGGCTCTCTGGGGGCAAGGCCTCAGAGTGACCACTGAGGAGGGGGTGAGGGAGGGGTCCCAGCCAGGGTCCAGTTACCTGGTAACCCTGGGAGAAGGGTCTGGACAAAGGGGAGTGGTCACCAGGTGATGGACACATCACCTGGGAGGAGACAGGGGCATGGGGTTGGGGTTTGATGGACATACAGGTACTGATGGGAAAACTGGGATGAACCAAACATACAGATGGGATATACAGTGCAAACACACCTCTACACATTAAGTTACCTTTAATATGGTCCTTCCATTTTTTATTACTTTGGGAGTCAGATGTCAGCTGCTCTGTCAGCTGCTGAGGAGAAACTTTCTCACTGCAGGAATTCCAAGATTTTGTAGTGGAAGTTCACTGCTGCCCCAGTTAACAGACCTACTGACTGTACATTCCTAGTTACCAAAGGAAGAGATAATTGAGTGGAACCTATTGATAATATGTTAACTTCGGTTATTTAATAGTTAGATTTATGATCTACCAAAAGTGATAAAAAGGCATAGAACTATTTTTTAACATACCAGAAAGGGCATCACTGCAAGTAGCCTTGTAACAAAGACTTAGTGAGTTTTTTTCCCAGTTTCTTCAAGACAGATACATACTTTAAAGCCTTAGATTTAAAATATAAGAGAAGGAAGGCTAACATTTCAAAAGGAAAGATAGCTGATGAATACTGTTAATTGTACGTGTTTGTTTTTTTTTTTCTGAATGTCAAAAATGCCTTTCACCAGAACCAGTATTTATAGATACAGGTTATGTATATGGTCCACACCCCTATATGCCTTTTGTCATTGCTAATTAGAATTCTTCTAGTCATTTGAGTTGATGCCTGTTTTTCTGTGTATTGTATGATGTCATGTAAAAGCCAGCTCTTATCACCTGCAATGTGAAGTCTTTAACAATTGAATAACTATTTAGATATTATCAGCATTGTTTTTTACCTTGATTTTTAGGTTTTCTGAACAGCTCTGTATAAAAGTTATTATACAAAGGAAGTGTTTTGCTATTTATAGATTTTATTATTGGTGTCTTTTGCTATAAGATGACTTGGTACTTAAGAGAAACAATTACAAAGTAAATCAACCAACAGTAGTGTTCTCTCCCTTACAGATTGTACAATTCATTGTTACCTTGGTGCAGAATAATCAACTAGTAAGCCTAAAACGCAAAAGGTAAATATGGTCTTGAAAACTTTCTGTCCACTTGATAAATTGACAGGCCTTGTTACCAAAGAGGTGGGTTTGAGATGGCCTTCTTACTTTACTCTTTCTGATGTAGGCCTCTACTTCTGAACACTAATGGACCTACAAAGTCGAATGTATTTCAGAAAATTGTGAAAGAACCGGCTGAGAGTAGCCACCATGTAAGTTTCTATTATGGGTACTCTGTTTGGATGGAGTGCAGGTGGGCAGATGAATCAAATTAATTGGTGCATGTAGTCTATAATGCAGCTGTGTACTGAGAGCTGTCAGCTTGTACAAGTGATAGGCTGTGTTGTTTCCTTTCAGAAGCTGAAGGTGTTGATAATGACCATTCACTTTCCAACATAAGCACATATAAACCAGTTAACTGTGTATTAAATACATGATCATGCTGATAGCAGTTTGCTTTTAAAAATGGTGCTATTAGAAATAGCATGTGTAATGTTGCATTGTTATTTCTGGGAATGTGACATCCCTGGCCCCATATAGGGACAAGGGTCGAGTGTGTTGCTCTGCAAGGCAGCATCCAACCTAGCAAAATCATGTCATGTTCCTGTTACATTTGAATGAGTCACACCACTGAAAGCTGTTTTCTGCTGTCCAAATAATAATTGACAAGAAGATTGTTATAAAGCTACTAATTCTAGTGCCATACTACAGCACTCATTTTAACAAAGTACTGTTTAAACAGCAGTCACTGTTTTAATATTTTGAGTTCTATTATCTGACAGTGCTGGTACAATTTTATTTCTACACCTGTAGTATTTGCCAGATTCTTTTTCCTGTAGCTGTTATTCTCCAGCTTGTTTATTTACTTGTATGTTTTTTTCCTATTAAAATAGATCTGTACAAACAGCTTGTAATCTCCAAGTTGTAGAAAAGGTCTTAGATGTAATTAGTTGTGAAGCATTGTAAGATACAATGATAATTGTCAAAATGCTGAAGCTCATTGTCCTTCTGTGTCCTGACTCTTAAAAAAATAATTCTCAGGTACCTCTCAACAGAAATGAGGGCTTAAAACAAAGGGAACAGATTTCAGATGACATTGTTATTTATGATGTCACTGAGGATGTGGGTGAGGAAGAACATCCCATGGCTGATGAAGAAAATACTCCTGTTACACCAGAAACGAGTGAAGATACCACTTCAGATTCTTCCAAGTAAGAAGTTTAAGAAGTTTGTGTTGATAAATGGCTTTCAGTGTTGTGTAATATGCACTAATTCAAATGTCTTAGATAATTTTTTAGTCAAGTGGTTAGAATTATTCAGCACTGCTGCACATATTCACACTAGCTTTTGATTTATTGACCCCTAGATTTGTTCCAAAATAGTTACTTGGCTGTTGGAGTTTTAGTATCAAGAGAATAGATGGAAGCTGGTGAAACAATCAGTATTATTGCATAATGGTTAAATATACTATAGCCAGAGTAAGAGAAGTCTTCTTACTTTTTGGTTATGTGAACAGACAGGAACAACTTCCCTTGTTTTTTCCAGGCTTTTGTGGGGAAAAATTTACATGTGGGTGTTGTCAGGTTTTGGTGTGGTCTTTGCATTAAGCCAATTAATTTCAGGGTTCTGGTTTTTTTATAGTCCAGTTGTTTTTTGTGATTGTGTTCCTTCCTGTCTGTACTCCAGTAGTACGGAAGTTCTTCATCTTTCAGCTACAAGCAAGTTGAAACTTGGTCCAGGGATTTAGATGGCAACTCTTCTTCAGTAGCATTGGACTGATAGGGCCTGTATTATGCCTCAAAGAAAAAAATGGAGTATTTGTAGCTTATACTTGAATTGGCATCATTGTTCTTGCTCAGCTGATGCCTGGGAGTGCATGCTCTGATAGAAAAGCTTCATGAGAAGAAGACTGTGACAGAGAGGCAACATTACTAACAGCTTCTTAAGGGTTAAGAACCAGAATAGGGATGAAAGCAAATCAGTTGAGGCTCGCTCTTGGTTTTCAGATTCTGTTCCTGGTATGCATAATATGGTTGCTCCACAGCTGATGCTGTTCAACAGGAAATAAGCAAAATATATACTGTCTGTCTGGCTTGATGACTTTGTATGATTTGGTACATACTTCACATTTATATGCAAACTTACAGTTGTTCTAATGACAAAAGTGTCAGTGTTGCTATAGCTCTTTAGCAGTTGGTTATTGTAGTCTGGCACAACAGTGTCTGCTAACTGAACTGCATTAATTGTATTGATCATTACAGAACCATGTCAGTGGAAAATAGGTATTTCAAATATCTTGCTATGTTTAGTATTAAAAAGCAGTAGAAAAGCTTATTTCCTGATAGTAGCTTGAATAGTAGCTGGACTAAAGTGAGAGGTAACTAACCATGTGGAATGATACCCATTTAAATGTGTATGAAATGCTGTAATTAATTTTTCTCACATTACAGCTGTAGCTGTAGCTACCATTCTCCTGATATCGTAATTGTGGAAGATGATAATGAAGATGAATATGCCCCTGTAATTCAAGGGGATAAAAACACTGAATCAGTTGCTGTCCCAGGTAATGATCCAGCCAGCCATGTCAGTGACAGCACAAGCCCACTCATGTCAAGTGCTGTACAGGTGAATAACCAGTCAACCTTAACTGCAGAAGACCCAGTCTCTGTGATGGATTCCATCCTCAATGAAAACGGAGTAATTTCACAGAATATAAATCTTCTTGGAAAGTGAGTAGTCTGGTCTTTTCTTTTTTCTAGTATTAGAACTCATTATTTGACTGAGGTAAAAAGAACTGAATAGCAATTTCCACTGAGAATTTTAAACTTGCAGGCTCCTGTTATTCCAGCCAATTTCTGAAGATCCTTCTATTTTAAGTATTTTGAGATGCGACCTCTGATTTTACTTGTTAAGTGAGTGAGTTGAGATGTTTAATCTGGCATTGTAATGTTGCAGAAATTTTTTAAACTGTGAGGGTTTATTTTTGTCACTCCTGCAGGTGGATCAGATCCATTAGGGCTATGCAAGAATTGCATCTCTGCTAATGTCATGTAATAGTGTTACATTGATGTCATTCCTGTGATAACCTATTCCAGAGCACCTGTCTGCTGACTTGGGTTCTCCTCTAAAGAGCCTAAAAGTCTTCATTTTTTTTCCAGAGGTCATTTCTTGTGAAAGACTTAGTTCATTCTAGTTCTGCTTGATTTTTAGATGCATGTAGTACATCTGTGTAAAGCTTACTTAAGGATTTCTCTTACTTTATTAAGGGATACAGCAATAAAATACTGTTTGCCTTCTAGAGTTGAACTTCTGGATTATCTGGACAGTATCGACTGCAGTTTAGAGGACTTCCAGGCTATGTTGTCAGGACGACAGTTCAGCATAGATCCAGATCTCCTGGTTGATGTAATTTTGACTTAAAATTAAGTATTTTCATTATAGGCTATAGGAAACATTTGTGTGTTTTGTTGCTGTTTAGTATGGATTTAAATCACAAATGATCTTTTTTTCCTTCCCTTTACAAAGCAAAGTTAAAAATATTTATGAGTTTCTGGAGCACTGGTATAAGTCTGAATGCTATGCCACTGCTCAAGTAAATGCTTAAGTTTCTTATTGACCAATGGCTTTCTTAGTGAAATAATGCTTATATTTGTTGTGATGTGAACTTAAATGTCAATTAATACTCTTGCTTGGAAATAACCCAGCACATAATCTGTGATGTTCTCAATGAACTGGGGTTTAAAAGAACCTTTCTCCCTGTAGCAAGACCACGTTGCTGGCTGTGGCAGGGTGTTGTCTGCCATGACGCACATTGTCCCCTCTCTGAAGTGCTGCTCCCTGTCCATCTGTTCCTTAACCCTAATCTGGGCCCGAGGTGCATGAGGTTACTGGGTCCTGGTGGCTTCTGAGCCTGCTGGAGTGCCTGTTGGTCTCTCACACTTCACTCTTGAAAGTAGCTCTGCTCTCCATTTACTGATAGCTCCTTCCATCTTGGTGTCACTTGCAACTTAAGTTCATCCATATTGTAGGCAGAATTATCCATGCAGCAATATCAGTAGAAATTGGTGTTTTAAGACTGCAGCAAACCATGTTAGATGCCACACAGTTGTTTCTTTTGTGATCAGGGTTAATGGAATTTCAAACCATTGCACTCCAGAGCTAGATTTTCTTTGTAAAAGCAGTAAATAGACTGTAAATAGACTCCAGTCCTCATAGAGAGTGGAATAAGTACAGGGGTTTTTCTCACACATGCAAAAGCAATGGTCTTGTATTCTTAATAGCAACACTGAGATACCTAAAACTTGGATGTCTTTTGTCTTATTCAGCTTTTTACAACTTCTGTGCAGATGAATCCCACAGATCATGATCATATCACTAATACCAAAGTAAGTCTAAAATCCATTGCTCAACATATGCAGTAGTGAGAGATGCAAAATTTACTCATCTTTTGCTCTTTACTGGAATCATGGCACTTTGTGGCTTTTAAGACTTAAATGAGAATAGGAAGATTGCAACTTAGTTCATTCTGTTGGGCTTTAAACAGCAAAGAAAAAAGCACCCTAATTAATTAGTAATGTCCTTTAAAATTTGTATTACCTTGACTTTTGTATCCCCGAGATGTTTTTATTTGCAAACATGGTATGTGCTTCTATCTGAATGGTTTTATCTGTATTGTCTGGTGGGAAAAGAAACCAGTAATAATCAGTGAAGCAAAGATGTTAACACTTTGAATTTGTTCAGTTCATTTAAAGCATTAGTTTTGGTTCTTGCTTTGTAGCCTGTGTTTCCATTTCATGTTTTCTCAGCCAAGGTGTGTTAGTGTGGGTAATACTGATTATGCCACTGCATCTTACCACAAATAAAAAAATGTTTGTCATAGTCATTCAGCTATTCTCCAGTGGCACTGGAACAGGCTTTAGAAGTATATTTTAAAAGTTTTCCTTTGTTCCCAGGTGGAGACAAAGGGAAAAGAAACTAACAAGAATAATGCTGATCCAGCAGCTTCACAGGAAATGCAAGGTACTAAGCCTAGATCAGGTTAGTTGTAGTCAACTATTGAAATATTTCCACAGTTGAACATTACTCTCTACAAGCCATCTCAGTTATTTGCTTGTTATCTGAATTCATGTTATGCTGATAAATAGCCAAAACACAATACTTAGTATGTTTACTTTTTAGATTTTTGTCTCTGCACTAGATGCAGAGAAACTGATGTTTTGCAGGTGAATCTGCACTAATAATGTTATGCATGAACATAACAATTCTTTAAAAACACAACCATCTTTTTTTAGTAATTATTCTTTAAATAAGTGCTGTGGGTTGGCACATGAATTGATATTCTGTTTTTTTTTTCCTCACAGATAAGCAGCTGATACATTACACTGCTTTTCCACTCCTTGCATTCCTCGATGGGAACCCAGGCTCTGCTGTTGAGAGTGGGGTCTTCACAGCTGAAACTCCTTCCACTGTTGAAAAATCCGTGGAAGGGGATGAGCTCCTGGAGAGCAGCCTGGATCCCCAGCCCACCCAGAGCAAACTGGTGCGTCTGGAGCCACTGACAGAGGCAGAGGCAAGTGAGGCCACGCTGTTCTACCTGTGTGAACTTGCCCCAGCACCCATGGATACAGACATGTCCTTCTTAGATAACTGATGTGAGGGAGGTTGTGTATATAGTCATGAAGATGAACTATTTATTTAGAATATTGTTTGGTATGAGAGTTTTTTGTACATCACTGTTTTATGTAACCAGGTATGTGGAATCTGAAGTATCTTTCCTATCTTACACAAGCAGTTGTTTAGGTATGGAGTTAAGACAAGCCACCAGGCACAGCTGGCAGTGCTGAGCCAGGCTCCTGCTGCACTGCAGTGAACACTTGGTGTTGCCCACATTGCTCGTACCGCAAGTAACCAACACTTGTCAATAGTGAGCTTTGGTTTATGGTTTCTTATACTTCTTGTCTTACATATGATGACATAAACTAGTAGTGTATTGTTAGGAAACACTGACTTTCTGTATTTTGGGGTTTTTATTTTTTACATTTTGTTTAACACACATGAGGCTTTTTTGGGGTGGGGGGACCAGGACCTGATGTAGGCTTTTTTTTTCCCTGCTTCAACTGGGAACAAAGTGCCTGTACCTTGCTAAATCTTGGTTCTGCCTTACTTTCACTTCAGTGGAAGTGCTCACACATAGCACAGACTGGGGAAAAGTGCTTGACAGCTGCCAGGCCCCATGACTGCATGAGTACTCTTAACTTGGACCATCTATGCTGACAAAATAAATGTTACTTAAGTGTGATACTTGTCAAGAGTTTGTCTCTTACTCTGTGTGTCAGGTGGTTATGGATTTAATATCTTGTTTTCCTATCATAGTAGCTGTGCAAGGTCTGCTGTGCACAGTTCCTGGAAAAGTTTAATTACCTCCAGCCTGATGGATTTATTGATAAGCCTCCAAAACAAGAGAGAAACTGGGTTTCATTAACTTAATACATGCAACACAAAAACCACATTCTGGCAATGGATCGGAGATTTTTTTCCAAAGTCGTAATGTGGCCACTTGTACAAAGAGCTGAATCTATAGACAGAGCAGTCTGCTAATCTTCTGAATTCACCAACTTGTTCTTCCTTACAGGACTCAGGAACTGCTGTAGTAGAAGAGGTGTTCAGGTGTTTTACCCAAATCTAAACAGGTGTAACCCAGTGAGGTGGCAGCAGTTGATGAAGCAGGAATGCAGGTCCAGGTGCAAGGCATGTTAGTGTTTGCTGGGACATGGCTGCCAAGGGCACAGAACTGTCAGAGGACCTCACCCAGGGGGGCTGCATGTGACCTCCTGAAAGAGCCAGGGACTCACAGGTGTGCTCTGCAGCACTGTCAGCTCTTCTCAGAACCTGACAGTGCTACAAAGCATTCCCAGAAGAGGGGTTGAGATCGTTACACAAACCCTTGCAATAGCCAACATCTGGCAGCACCATGAGACATCAGAAGTCGTGGGACATCTTCATCCAAATTTATTTATTAATAAGGTAACAACATATTACAAATTATAAGCCTTTACTAATCTTTCCATTACTGTCTCAAGTTTGACTTGACATGTCAGACTCTTTGCAGTAAATGTCAGTGTTCAGGTGCAGAATTAAAAGCTTCAGAGAATAGCAACTCGAAGTCACAGTTACAAACACCACGGAAAGGGATGAGCATGACATCGGCTGCAGGCTCCAGGGTCACTTCCAGTCAGGCTGCTCTAGGCTCAAGTTGTAGCAAGTAACAGAGAAATTATGCAGCTTATGTACTTCAGTTACAAAGCAAAAAGCACAAAAGCATTTTAAGATTTTGTAACTGCACAGGAACTATGCCTAGATTTACACTTCCTAGGCTCAAGTCCATCTCTGGCAATGGACAACAAGTAAATACCTAATACAGTAAAAGATTTCAAGATTCAGAGCCCCAAATATTGTAGGAAACCCTTCAGCAGAAGCCTCAGTAAATGCAAACCTTCTCCTTCAGTTATTGTAACTTCTGTGCTCCATTTTCTCCACTTTTTTTTTAATCACAATACTTGATTGCTCCAAAAGGCTTACACAGCTTTCACCACTCGGCTCCTTGCAAACTTCATGATTGTAGCGTAGCCAAGAAAGTGGCACACAAAACAGCAATAAATTACAGCACAGCTATGCTACTTAAACTACTTAAAAAACTAGTAATACTATGTAGATGCACATTGTGAACAGGTGCCTTAAAAACATGCTTCTGAGCATCTGATACCAGGGTATTTCCCCCCAGGGTGCCTGTCCTCCTGTGTGCAATGGGACACACTGGACTGGCTCCTCTGCAGCTCCAGGTGCAAGTTTCCCCCCTCACATCTGTGTTGATGATGGTACAGCTGCCCTCGGCATGGGAAAGGTCAGGCTAAGTAGTGTCAAAGTGCTGCAATGTGTCCAGTGAACCCCAAAGTGTTCCACTTTGAGTCTAACACACTCAAGGCTTATTTGGGAATCAAGGCAACAGGGGTCATCAAATGTAGACCCTTCTTCACTTGCAAAGCCTGACCTAGCACTGTTTAATTACCCTAATTTAATGCTTGCACTTTTTTCCTACAACCATTTAATGGAATTGAGGGGAAAAAAACATACATCCAAAAGCTCTTGATCTTACATCTTGTGCTCCCAAAGCACTCAAACTAGGAGTAATCCTATGAAAACCATCATTACAGCAATTACCATTGAGCTCAGCTAGAAAAAGTCATTTACTGAAATGGCAAGACATGATTCAAGGTAATCATGCAGGATAAAGCAGGGATACTACCTGGACAGCACATACACGTGTATTTACACCCGCACTATTACCCGGAATACTGTTTGTTTCAGGGACACGTGATGCTAACACAGCCTCTCTCCAGAGCAGTACAGCTCAGTCGAAGTCGCGGTTGGTGAGAACCAGCGGAGCCACCAGAGTCCACACGTACAGCACGATGCCAATCCAGCTGGAAGAGATCTTCACCCACACGGATGGCCACTTGCTGGTCATTGTCTCATAAGAAGAATCCGGACTGTGAACCAAGGAAAAAAAATAAGATCATTTGCAAATTTTTTTCAATATAACATACTTGTGGTTCTAATCTACCCTTCAACACTATTTTCACAGGAGATCATCCTCAATTCACAAATCAAAGGACCCTTCTCCCAGGCAGTTCACACCAGTCTGTACAAGAACACCACTTTAGGTAGGTGTCAGAGGAGGTGGAAAAACAACAACAGCACAAAAAATATTCAGTATGAGAAGTAGCCAAAAAGGAGAAATAATTGCAAGGAATCTTTAACAAATCTGCAGAAAGCAGTAAATGGATAGCACTTACAAGATAAAAATAATGTATTTTGCCTTGCCAAAGGACACCACCTAGAGAAATCAATAATCTTGATGTCATGTTGGACCCAAGTAGGGCCACAAATCAATTTCCCAGCAGGACTATCTATTAAGAGTTATTGCTGAAGGAAGTACCTTTTAGTGTTGATTTTTCAATACAAACTGTTCTTTGCCAAGTAACTAGAGACCTTAAGTTGTATTTTTTAATTCTAAAGAACATCTGATGTAGCTGTTAACAACAGTTCACACACAGAACTACTTTATTGTGAGGATTTTCTTCAAGGATCAGACAACATAATTTCCTTCCACCAAGCCTGGTCAGAGAATAGCTGTGCTTGGAAGAGACCACTGAAGGTTCTCTACTCCAGCTCCACTGTTCCAGCGGGGATATCTAAATCCAGCTGCCCCAGATGCTTTTGAAGTACCTCCAAGAATGGAAGCTTCACAACTTCCCCTGGCAACCTGTGCCAGTGTTCAGTCACCCTAGCAATGAAGAAGTGTTTCTTTACATTCAGAGGGAACTGCCTGTGTCCCAGTTTGGGCTTTTTGCCTCTGGCCATGTCACTGGGCACCACTGAGAAGTCCTGGCTCCATCCTCTTTGCACACCTGCTTCAGGTGATTATACACAGTGGTGAGACACCCCTTGGGCCTTCTCCTCTCCAAGCTGAACAGTCCCAGCTCTCTCAGTTTCTCCTCGTATCACATATGCCCCAGTCCCTTCATCATCTTTGTGGCCCTTCACTAGACTCTCCAGTATGTCCATGTCCCTCTTGTACTGGGAAGCATCAGAACTGGAGGAGTTGGGAAGAAACACCTTCCCCTTGACCTGCTGAAATAACATGTCCTTTTTCTAGCTCTCTGTACTAGACATGGGCCTAGTGTTTACTAATTTTTGTTACATAATTTAAGACTTCATCCAGTTCACTTTAGCAGATGTATTTCAGCAATTCTGTGAATAACAATAATCATCCTAGAAAGTATGACAGGCACTTGTGAACAAGGTTGGCTACAGTTTTCAGATACACTTCCTTAAGAAGGCCTACTCAAGACCTACATTCCAGAGCATGCAACTTGTGCCTCTTTGTCCAGCAAGAGATGGCCTCTTGTATGCTCATTATCAGCACATCTAATCAAATGTAAATACCTGTACCAGTTGGTAAGTGTCATCATGATATACAGTGATGCCAGGAAAAGCATGAAGTGGAAGAAGGAGTAACTGTAAGTAACTCCATCCCTCTCATTATCTATAGCTCGGTGAACATCATCTCCATCATCAAGGGAGCCATCACTCCTGGGCATTCCATCCTCTATCAGTGTTGACTCATCACTGGTCAGCATCAGCTTGTTAACTTGGCTGTTGTTGGACGTCCGGATGCTGGATATAACAGAAAAGGACGCCGTACAGTTACCCAAATAAATAACTCAAATAATAAATAAATAAATAAATAAATAAATCCAGTTTAGTATCCAACAATAAGAAGTGATACAAATTAATGCAATTTTTTTAAGGAATCTTACCTTGAATAGAGAACACACAGCAGAAACAAAACCAGTCCTACAATCCCTTGTGCATCCCACCACTGCACTACCTGACCTTGGGTTGGAATGGTGGTGCTGTTGTAACCAATGATGCTCAGCAGACTGGGGTTACAGCGCCTGTCTGTGAGGGAAATTGCATTAGAACTTACATAAGACAAGAACAGGACAAATATTTAATAACACATTTCCATGTTGAATGCACAGAAATAGAAAGGAACTTCGTGACTGTGACAATCTTGAAGTAAAATCTGTATTTATTTTTAGCCTACTGAATCTCTCTAGAGCAGGGAAATGACAGTATATGGCATAAAAATCTGTCTCTTCACGCAGATAAAAGGATTCTGAACTTATGTAAGATATGCATCAACTGCTTTACTATTCCATCATTCCATACATAATTAGATACAACAAAACAGAAATTTCTGCATAATAAACTTCAGATATTCTACTGCTAAGAAACAAGTTTAACAAGCATATTCTATAGATGGGGTACCCGAGTCATCCCAGAATTGGAAAATAATACCACTAAGTCAGTTTTTTATTATGAGTGGTTTCCAACCCACAGCATCCACAGGTAACATTGATGAAATGGCTGAAAGTAGTAGACAATCTTATTTTCCCATAATCACTGCCTGAATTAGATGACTCGTGTATTCCATGACACAGAAGCACAGAAGATTGTCCATAGATAAAAGGGCCAAAGGCCCAATTAAAACTACTAAAATCAGTATCAGGTGATTTATTTTAATCATCAGAATTTCCGCACTTATTTATTTTTAGAGGCAATCAATTGTTTCTAAACACAATAAACATTAACAACATTTATTAATACTTGTTATAAATCCTCAGTTTGGAAAAATACAATCAGTAGCATCTTGGTCACCTAAGAAACGTGAAACCTGGTAGAGATGAAACTCCTAGACTCCTCAGGGGAGTTGCACTGATCTGCAAAATCTAAGCTTTAGAAAACTCTAGTTCTGCCAGTACAGAGCAGAAATGCTTACATGCCATACAAGCAGGGGGAAAAGACATTATTTTAGTAGGCTGGTTGCAGAGGGGGTGAAACTCAAAGATGTGTGGGCAAGGCCAGGTTGTTATTTTATACCTCCTACATCACTGCTGGGAGCTTGGCTTTGGGGGGAGGAAAAGGTGAGCACACCCTGGAAGAAGTGGCTCTCTGCTTCCCTCTCCCCCTCAGGGGAGCTTGCCTGGAGCAGCCACGCAGACCCTGCCCTCCCTCACTGCTGCATATCCCTTCCTATCCCTCAGAAGAGCGGGCTCCTAGTAGCCCATGTAGCTAAGCCCTAACACATGCACATTCTATTACCCTGTTCTAATGCTGCCTTGCAAAAGAGCTGGAAGTGCAATTTACCACTGAATGGATTACCCAAAAAGCTCTACACGGCTATTACGCCTACCTGGCTCATTGGTCATGGCTGACCAAGTCAAATACATTGTGTAAATTGTGATCACTGAAGACTGCAGCAAACCAGATCTTGGCTGAGATTCCTACACAAAGGAGTCACAAAACAGGGAAGTTAGGCAATAAAAGTTGTAGGCACAATTATATTTTGAAAACACAAGAGGCAACAGAATTAAAATCATACCTGAATCCTTGGCAGAATTGACATTACAGAAGCACCAATGCACAGGAGCATATTAACACTGATGAATGTCTTGTTCTCAGAACAACCTTCTGGATGAGTGTAATAAACATAAAACAAGACAATAGCTACTAGAGACAGCAGATAGTTGACAGCTGTAGCTGAGAGCAGAGCTGTGAAGAAACAAAACCATAGTTAAACTGGTTAATAACAAAGACTACTATGATTGGAATGATACTACATGATTATCAAGTGTGGGATACAATATACAACGAGAGTTCTGGGCATTGAAATGTAAAGGAAGTTCTCAAATAGCCTGTGAAGTATTAAAAAGAAACAATACATGGGAATCCTGAAGCTATGCTTGATTCTCCAGTGTTCCAACAGCAACCAGAAGAGCAAAGACAATAAAGGAACACAGTTATACTGGACACTCCCTAGCTAACAGCTTAAAAAAGAAACTGAAGAAATACTTCTCCAACAGACGCTAAAACAAAATCTCATTTCCAAATTACATCTTAATAAAAACACTAAATAGAGAAGTGGCCACTGAATGAAGACAGGCCATGCTGTCTTTTGAAACACCTAAATTATCATATCTGAGACACTTTATTAAAATAAGATTTCTCCAGTGAGATGACTTTACTCTCCTTCACTACCCTGACCTTTCACTCAGCATATACCTTCAAAGAATGACTAACTGTAAATCAGAAAAAACGTTTGTTTGAGATTATTCTACTCAACATCATGCACTAGCAGGTTACTTTGTTTTTAATGAGCACTGAAGGACTAGCAAAACCTGTGGCTAAAAAAAACCCCAAACAAACAAACAACAAAAAAACCAAAACCAACCCAAAAAAACCCAAAACAAAACAAAAAAACCCAAAAAGCTGCAGTTGCCACTTCTCTGATTTCATGATGCACAGAAAGCTCCACCTAAACATGAGGGAGAACTTCTTTACTTTGTGTGACTGCACTCTGGAGTTGATTACCCAGAGATGTTTTAGAGTCT